AAACGTGCCCCGGCCGTGCAGGTATGGTGATGCCGGTCTTCTAACGACTACATGATGTATGTAGTCGAAACCAAGCGGTGGCGTTTGCTTTGTGGCCAACATTCAGCTGACGAAAGGTGGCCCACGACAGTGGACTCTACGTACATACTTCAGACTCATTTTCATAGCGAGACCGCCATGTTTTCATGCATGTTGCCGTCTACAACGTACTGGAAGTTTCACACCACTGTTAGGTTAAACCTAGACCTAAACCTATGCACTGTAGTGCGCTAGACTGTAGAAAGAAGAATATTTTACCGTGCTTCGCATGTCGCATGATAAGCAGGAGAAAATCAAGACGCTATGGAGCTTGGCGACCTCCGATGGAGGGGGGTGCGACGTGGAAGCGTCTCTATCAAAGGAAACCTTCCTGTCAATCATGGTGGGGCCTTGAGGGCGGCGACCCTGTTCGTGGTAATCTACTAACGCGAGTACCATACACAACTTCGTTTGTGTACACCTTTGTTGCGCCGCTGTTATATGTACGCACAGCTGATGATGTACAGTGACTTTCCTCGTCCGACGTTCACAAAACCAACCGTGGTATCGACCCATCCACGCGTCCTACGAAGATGATCGCGTCGCGTTGGCCGATGTAAAAACGTCTACCATGTAGAAACCTAGCATGTTCCGCGTACCAGTTGTTCTGCTCCCTGCTCCTGTTTTTCCTCCCATGCGTCCCATGCCTCCTCGTTGTTCTTACTAACATCGCCCATGGTGACAGGCTCATTACAGCAGTATTGCCCCAAGCAAATTGAACCGAAACACGTACGTACGCTTACTCCCACCTTTGTTCCTCGTGATGACTGCACGACTCTCGCGGTGTGACAGGTCAAAATCCACGTGCTGATAATATTTCCGCCAGTAGATTTGTCGTGGGCAATGACGAACGCTCTGAAGGACTGGGAGAAAGACAATGCGGGACTGGATACGATGAACCTTGACAGGTACCGCAATATTGATTTCGGGTAGGAATTCGTAGCCCATGACGCGCTAAAGTGATGGGAAAAGAGAGCACACTGCAGCTGGGCTCAAGATATATTCGTTTACTTGTTTAGATGTGAGATTAGATGACAACCTGCGGCCCTTTAGCGCGTTGTGGAGCTAAATGGCGCTCACCTTCGTGAAAATTCGGCTCAATGAGCACTGTATCATGCATCTTCACCCGTAGGTTCGCCACCACGAGAACTACTCCAACCCCACTTCGTCATGCCCATGGGGATGAGCATTTTGGTGAAACACAGTGCTGCACACACATGTGACTACGAAAAACGCACACAATGTATTTTTGAACTAAATAGCTCGCTCGGCGCTTGGATGGTTGCACTTGTTTGTCGCCTCGGCAAGGTTTATCGATTCCATTTTTGAGCTCGTTGATATTTGGACGGAGACTACCGAGGAGCAAGAATACTTGGACATGCTCGATCTCCTCACCAGGGGCATCACAAAGGTGTGCGATGCCACCAGGATCTGGTGTGCTGTGTCTCAGACCCCGGATGGATGTACGGACTCCTCCCGTGGGCGTTTTCACCCGACATGCGGTGGAATATAGAGTCTCAAGATTGCTTGCCAAGACGGCCAGCAATATCGAGGCATCAGTCACCTTACATTGATTCTACACAGGTTTGGACTTCCGGTCATGAGCTGTGAAGAACAAAAATACAATTGTGGGGTATGGTGACGTAGAAAAAGCTTTGCACGTCGGTCATAGGACACGATTGTGGCTTGGCTGTGCTGCAACTAGCCTGGCGACAGTACTGCTTTCGAGCAGCGCAACTGCGGTTGACGCTTTGCGAGTTTTTAACCAGCCCCCCCCCCCCCTCGGGTTTGGGTTTTCGTCGCTTGGCAACGACGTTGTAAAACAAGCCGCCCCCCCCGGTGTTTGCCATCGGGGTTTGGGTTTTCGTCGCTTGGCAACGACGTTGTAAAACAAGCCCCCCACTCGGTGTTTGCCATCGGGATTGGGTTTTCGTCGCTTGGCAACGACGTTGTAAAACAAGCCAATTCACTTCGTGAACTCGGCAACCAGGTTACCGTTTTTTTTTTTACGTCGGTTTTTTTTTTTGGCGGTAACCATAATGGTGGTCGAGTAGATCATGTTGTGCGGGGTGGAGAAACCTCACTCCGCGCAACGGGGGATGATCGCACCACGTTGTGTTAAAATGGTCAAGCTTCCTCGAGGCAGTTACACAGTGCTTACAACTGTCTCTGGAAGTGAAAGCACCAGAAAATAAATTAAGTCATACGTAGCTGTCATCCGTACGCAAGGAAGTAAGCACAAGATGCCGAACACCCTTAGCAGGATGGCAGCTCACCCTTCATGCGACTCGCCAAATACCTCACGGCGCTTCGCGCTTGGTGATGTGAGAGCCTGGTCCGGTGAGAACCCGGCGTGCTCCGTCCCGGCTTTGTAGGGATGCGAGGTCAATGGTCAAACGACTACGGCATGCACGACTATGAGTACACCCCCCCCC